GCGGCTGGGCCTATTAACCGTGGGCTTAATAACCGGCGACTACTGTATAATAACTTCTTCCCACCGTAGCCGTCAACTTTTTAACTACAAACTGGGATTTTGGCCTAGCGATTGTAGTGAAGTAAGTGCAAACACCACTTAGACGCTACAATGTGACTGCCGTTAAATTTTTCTGAGAAAGAACGGAAAAGCACAATGGCTGAACTTTTGCTCATTCATGAAATTAATTTCAGCCGATGGTTTTTAAAGTCAGATGATGGGAACAGTATTAAACAACTAAATTTCTGACAAGAAAGGTCTCCGCCGCCTTATCCTAAATCAATGAGGTAACTAGGCCAGTGGGATGTAACCAATAAAATTTGGGACTGCGGGCCCTCGAGAACGTGGGTCAGCCATTGATTGCTCCAATGGATACACGTTGCGCTCGCATTTAAGCGACGCTGGATGCGGCTTCTGATCACTAGCAGTAGCTTGCAGGCATAGCCGCACTCCAAGCAGGCTATCGATCGGCCTACACGGGCGAACGTACACTAGCTGTAAATCGATCGATAATTCAGAATTCAAACTACAGTCATTCACGGAGCCAAAAGCCAATGGGACCGGCCACTATTTCAGAAGAGAATCTGATTGGCTCAAGGGACATCGTTGACATACGTTTGTTTCCCTTAAATTTGTTGTACCTCTAACACTCAAGGACTTTTGCTTTCTGCACACTTCTTGCCGTGTTCTCTCTTTGGGGGCTCACATGAGGCGTAGTTAGACGGCGAATATTTTGGCCTCGGCTCCGTTACAACAATTGGCGAGGTGATATCTCGGCCTGGGCTTCCGTTACAACAATGGGAACCGTATTAAACACCTAAATTACTGACAAGAAAGCTCTCTGCCGTATTATCCTAAATCAATGAGGTAAGTGGGCCGTTGGGATGTAACCAATAAAATTGGAGACTGGGGGCCCTCGAGAACGTGGGTCAGCCATTGATTGGTCCAATTGATACGCGCTGCGCTCGCATTTAAGGGACACTGGATGCGGCTTCTGATCAGTACGGAAGAAACATAGATGTTCTAATTATCCTCATCCAGTACAGGACATTGATGTCTCAGCAAAACCAAACGCGCTTGCAGTATTTAAGGACGGTTTAAATGGAGAACGCCCATGCTGAAACGAAGTGCAAACCTTTTCTTTAGGACTTCAACCAAGTACCTCTAAAACTCCGTCATGACCAGGAGACAATGGCCGAGTTGCATTGCAGACTGGACGACTTGCGTGATCACCTATACGACCTGGTGGACTCTGTGAAGGCGGAAAGCGAGGCAAAGCTTCGAAAAAGGCTTGGCCTGGACAAATGGATGCCAGAAAAGATGACCCTGATCAGTAATTTATATACGATGATGCTTCAGACAGAGCTTGATCGCTTCCAGGATCGACTGCGACTCATCATGGACTTCTACGCGTAAGCGTTTTTTGTTTATTCTTTTACTTTTGATTTTATAAGGTTCCAGTGCATACTTTACTAAACAACGACGACCAAGAAGAAGAAGAAGTAGAAGGGGGACGTTCATCGGGCGAGGTTTATTGTGTGTCTGACGTTTCGGGTAGGGATTTTGTTCACCTATCTTTAGGGAATGGAAATTCAGACTCATAGCTCTCATTATCTGCTGCTCTTTGCTCTGGATGTAACTTGCAAAAATGGACAATGGCGCTGCGTGTGGCCCACTTCTAACTGCCACTTGAGCTGCCTCCCTCCCCCGTTCGCCTCCTGTGAAGCCGCGTCGGCGTGCGTCTCCCTACGTCTTGTTTCACACCCGCCAGCGTTGGTCGCGGAGACAGTCCCTCTGCCCTCAGTTGTTCCACGACATGATTGTA